ATTAGCGTTATGAACTAGTATTAAATCTATTGTTGGGAATATGCAAATCAAATGCAATGCGTTTTCATTAATATATATATATTTTTTCAATATTTTGAGTCAATTATCTTATATTCTCTTTCCATTTGTTACAGACTTTACAGAGCAGCGCATAGAATTAAAGAAAACACATCAGATTTATAAAGCAACACCCCCGCACACATAACTACACACACCAACACACATACACACACAATGGGCAAGGACTACTATAAGACTTTAGGCATCACAAAAACTGCCACCGATGACGAGATCAAAAAGGCCTACAGAAAATTGGCGTTACGTTATCATCCTGATAAAAATAAAGCCGCCAATGCTGAAGAGAAATTCAAAGAGATCGCCGAGGCATATGAAGTGCTCTCCGATAAAAACCAACGTGAGGTCTATGACAAGTACGGCGAGGATGGACTGAAAAGTGGAGGTAGTTAATAGAACTAGTTCAATTGTGTGATCAAATGAACTACAGATGCTGCAAGCTCCAATTAAATTCTTTTTCTATTTTTCTAGGCGCTCGTAATGGCGGCGGTGGAGGCAAAAATACATTTACATATCAGTTTCATGGCGATCCTCGGGCCACATTCACACAGTTCTTTGGCAATAGCAATCCGTTCGCATCGTTCTTCGATATGGGCGATAATCTGTTCGATAAGAATGTGTTCGATTTGGATACGGAGCCAGATTTCTTCTCATCGCCATTTGGTGGTCTGGGCTCAAGGCATGGCCTAGGCAGCGCCTTCAGGTAGTCAAAGTCTCTCCCTCTCGATATATATCGTCAAAACCATTGCTAACTTGTTGTAGGCCCTCTTTTAGATCACACTCCTTCAATGTGCACACCCCCTTCAAAAAGGAACAAAAACAGGATCCGCCCGTTGAGCATGATCTCTATGTGACGCTGGAGGAGATCTATCATGGCTGTGTTAAGAAAATGAAAATCTCACGTCGTGTCATCCAGCCCGATGGTAGCTCGAAAAAGGAGGATAAAGTCCTGCAAATATCTATTAAACCCGGCTGGAAATCGGGCACCAAAGTCACGTTCCAGAAGGAGGGCGACCAAGCGCCCGGCAAAATACCAGCAGATATTGTGTTCATCATTAGGGATAAGCCCCATTCCATGTTCAAGCGAGAGGGCAGTGATTTGCGATATACGGCGAGGCTGACACTCAAGCAGGTGAGTACAAAAGATGATAGAATTGAAGGAATATAGAAGAAGAGGAGAACAGTAGAAGAGGGGAACAAGAGCATAGCACAACAAGGGAACAGTGGAACAATAGAAGACTTCAGTAGAAGAAGAATAGTATAAGAAACAGTAGAAGTAGAACAGTAGAAGAATGGAACAAGAGGACAGCAGAACAATAGGAGAGTGGAACAGGAGAAGATTGGCACAAGAGAACAGTAGAGCACTAGAGCAGTACACTAGAACAGTAACAGTAGAGCAATAGAATATTGGAACAAGAAAACAGTAGAGCAGTAGGAGACATAGTAAAAGTAGAGTAATAGAACTGTAGGCGAGTAGAAGTATATTGTGATATAAGCTGTCAAAGAGGTGATCTGTCTTAAGAGAGTTTATCAAATATTTATAGGATCTGTTATAGGGTGTTATACTTTTTACAGACTACTCTATAATGTAACAATATCAACAAGAGCTTAATATAAAATAAGCAAGTTAATTTACTTTTTAGCTTAAAAGTGAAAAGGTATATATATTAAAATATATTTTTATGAACTGCGATCTGTAGTTGCTCAATGTCTTATAAACTTATTAAATACTTAAATAATATTGGATACCCGAGTAGCTTGGATGATGATAATTTGTATATGTTTTGCATCTAGCTCTTGAAATGCTCGAGATCCAATCAGTCATATAAGTAGACAATCGAAAGGCAGATCAAATAGAGAGATCGTATGTAAGGGAAGACCTACTTTAATGGGCTGACTGATGGCAGTCTACATCTAAAAGCCTCTTCGACTTTTATTACCAAAAAAACAAAAAAAAAAAAAAACATAATAATTATAGTTTTATGTAATTTGAATTATATTCTCTCAATGTTTCACTTCTTAGAAGTGCTAAAAAGTTTATTTAAATTTTTCCACTTAGAAGGTCAGAGTTTTTTATTTGAGAACGGCCATAAAGCACATTGCTGCTCATGTTCATGTTCATGTTAGTTGGGCAAAAGCAAGTCAAGTCAACTACCAAATCCAGTGTTAGCAGTCATAATTGAAGATATTACCAAATGCCGTCATGCAATCATAATTAAACGCGAGCCGCACGTAAAAACCGTGTCAAATATTTCTAAATAGAAATCGCAAAATGACACTTTTAATAGCTAAAGCTGCGATTCGGCCAAAAACAGGCAAACATAATTTATATAGATTTGATGAAAAGCTGAAAAATCATTTCCATGTTGGGCAGAATGGAGAACCCCAAAAATATTTACTAAATTTGTCGCACTAACAAGCAATAAAATGTTAAAAATGTCAAAAACTTGGAGAGCAACTATTTAATCTAGTTAATGCAATTAACAATTTTAACATGACTGCGCAGTGCTCAGCATGTTAGTTGAACTATGGGGCTTTAGCCATTTTGTTTTCTACTATTTTTGTAATGATTAAAGAATGATTTTTTTTTTTCTTATATAAAAA